CCTTTCACTCTGAGAGAGGAGTACCACATGCAATTTGAGCGCCTTCAGCAGGGTAGCATGACTGTAACCCAGTATGAGACCAGATTCATAGATTTATCTAACCATGCAGGTTTCTTGCTTCCTACTGAGCGGGAGAGAGTGAGGAGATTCATTGATGGTCTTGCGTTTGGTATCAAGCTACAGATGGTCAAGGACACTGGATGATATTTCTTTTCAACGGGCGGTGGAGATTGCTAGATGGATCAAGATGATTCGTGGTCAAGGTAGAGAGGTAGTATCTAAGAAGAGGCGTCAATTTGGTTGTTTCAGTGGTACCTCATCTGGGGGCAGAGGTTCATTTGGTAGAGGCCATCCTCACAGGCCGATTCAGTTAGCACATGGTGCCTTGGGCAGTCGTGGTTCCTATGAGTCTGGTCCTGAGCAGCCAACACTCAGTACACCTTCAACTCCCATAAGTGCACCACCGATTCAGAGCTATCATATTGGTCATCCGGGTAGTCAGCGTCAGTCTCAGGTTCAGCAGCCACAGCAGACGAGGGAGTGCTTTTAGTGTGGAGGTACGGGTCATATCAAGAGGTATTGTCCCAGACTTCAGCAATGTGCCTCAATAGGTGCCATGATTCTGGCATTGGTTGCTCCAACCCCCCTCCTCCCGGCCCTTCTCCCCTGCCCCCGACCAAATAGAGGCCAGGGTTACGCATCTAGAGGTGGTGTCAGGCCGTTAGAGGTGGAGGCCATCCATTTAAAGGCCGTCCGAGAGGTGGAGGTTAGAGTGGTCGGGCCCAACACCGTTTCTATTCATTTCCAGCTAGACCTAAGGCAGAGTTATCTGATGTCGTCATCACAGGTATTGTTCCGGTTTATCATATAGATGCCTCAGTTTTCTTTGAACCGGGCTCTAATTATTCATACGTGTCATCCTTTTTTGCTTCATATCTGGCTATGCCTCATGATTCCTTGAGTTCTCCTGTTTATGTGTCCACGTCTGTGGGAGATTCTATTATGGTATATCGTGTTTATCGCTCGTGTGTGGTTTCTATTGGGAGCAATGAGACTAGGGTATATCTTCTACTTCTTGATATGGTGGGCTTTGATGTTGGCATGGATTGTCTGTCGCCTTATCACGCTATTTTGGATTGTCACGCCATGACTGTCGTATTAGCCATGCCGGGATTTCCTCGTTAGAGTGGAGAGGGACTCCTGGCCATTCTACTAGAAGGGTTATATCATATGTGAAGGCTCGGTGTATGGTCGAGAAGGGATGTTTAGCATATTTGGCATTTATCTATGATATACGCCGAGCCTTCACATAAGAAATCACCCTACAAGTAGAATGGCCCGGGGCCCCCCTCCACTCTACTCGAGGCAACTCCGGCATGTCTAACGTTACAATCTTGGTGTGACAAGCAAAAATAGCATGATAAGGTGATAACCAATCTATGCACAAGATAACATCAAAATCCACCATATCAGGAAGTAGGAGATCTACCCTAGTCTCATAGCTCCCCATAGAAACCACACATGAGCGATAAATATAATTTACCATAATAGAATCCCCCACAGGCATGGACACACAGACATGAGCACCCAAAGAATCTCGAGGCATAACCAAATATGACACAAAATAGGATGACAAATATGAATGAGTAGAGCCCGGATCAAATAAAACTGAGGCATCTCTATGGTAAATGAGAACAATATCTGTGATGACGACATCAGATGGCCATCAATGAATCTCCTCACTCTCTCCCTCTTAGTAGGAAGCAAGACAACTGCATGGAGAGCTAAATCCACGAATCTTATCTCATAATGGTAAAACTCATTTTATCCTGCTGAAGGCACTTAAACTGCCTGCGGTACCCCTCTCTCAGAGTAAAAGGAATGAACTTCTCCAAGAATAGCTGTGAGAACTGATCCCAAGTTAGTCGAGGCGAACAAGCTGGTCTGCCCCGCACATAATACTGCCACCATATCACGACCCAAATTCCAAACTGTCGTGATGACACGTAACCCAACCCGCTAGGTAAGCCAATTAAATAAAATACAATATAATATTACTGATGTGAATCAAGGATGAGTTAACTTAATTTTATACAACTCCCCAAGGACTGGTAGTACAAATCATGAGCATCTAAGATTTGGATTTCTTTACATGTTGAGATGTAAATGAACAAAATTCGAATCTAATGCTACGAAGGACTAGTGATAGCCATAACTGGAATGCATGTACATCTTCTGATCCAGCTTCCGTCGTACGCAGCAGCATCAACATCCAACATCTGCACGCAAGGTGCAGAAGTGTAGTATGAGTACAACCGACCCCATGTACTCAATAAGAATCCTACCTAACCTCGGTGAGATTAAAGAAGCAAGAACTATAAATGATATCCACTAACACCTATGCAGTTCAATATTTCCAACAAGTACAGAACAAGTATCTGATCAAATCAAGGACAATCTCAGGTAAAACCATTTTTGACGCTCACAATTCTTGGGCGTAAAGTGTTCTGCTCAGTCAACAATCCAGCATTTAGGGAAAACATACATGTAAATTCGGTAATCAGTTAAGGGATTGGCAAGTAAAGATGAAAGATTTCCGACTTCGGATTGCTCCTCAAATTCTTATTTTTCATTTTGAAAGGTCTTTACAAAAATTTCTCATTTTCTTCCATTAAATTCACTAACTTAATGACATAATTAAGTATGAAATCATGAAATGTGACCAGCTTTCCCGGAGCTCACATCAATATCAACCGTACGGACAACTCATGTGCTGCACGGACAGCTCACGTGCTATAGTACCAATATCTGGATCCGCATGGACAACTCACGTGCAATACGGACAACTCACGTGCTATGGTACAAATATCTAGATCCGTACGGACAACTCACGTGCTATAATATTAATATCTGGATCCGCTCGGACAACTCACGTGCTGCACGGACAACTCACGTGCTATAGTATCAATATCTGGATCCGCATAGACAACTCACGTGATATAGTATCAATATCTTGATCCACACGAGCAACTCATGTGCTGCATAGACAACTCACACGCTATAGTATCAATATCTGGATCCGCGCAGATAACTCACGTGCTGCGAACACATGTGCTATACTATCAATATCTGGATCCGCACGGACAACTCACGTGCTAATATCACAATCCGCCTGGCATAGTCATAGGCACAACAGTTCAGATCATATCCCACAGAAGCAAGTATACAAGAACACATATATATAATGGATAAAATATCAGATTTCATACTCCCGGACTGGTATAATTACATGCTAAAGTGCAGGCATGTGCAATGTGTGCTAACATGGCTCAAATTGGCAATTTATCACAGAAATAGCATTTACCAAGTTTTATTCAAGGAATTATCCTATTCATAACCTCAAACATGGCTCAAATAGTTCACGACAACAACAACAACAACAACAACAACAATAACGACCCAGTATAATCCCACAAGTGGGGTCTGGGGAGGGTAGTGTGTACGCAGATCTTACCTCTACTCCGATGGGGTAGAGAGGCTGTTTGCGAAAGACCCTCGACTCAAGAAGATGACAAGACAAAAAGAGACAATATATCAGTACCATCATGGAAATAATAACAACAACACAAGAACCAACGAATAGATGAAAGGGAGAAATAATGACCAGTAAATAAGGCCCGACACTACGAAAACGGAAGAGTAGTGTAAACACAGCACTGACCACTAGCAGTCCAAGACTAAATCCTATCAGCCTAGCCTCACACTGGTAGATAAATATGCTCAACTACCTCCTAACCCATAACCTTAATGCTCGACCTCCACAGCTTCCTATCGAGTGCCATGTCCTCGGAGATCTGAAGTCTCGCCATATCCCGCCTGATCACCTCGCCCCAATACTTCTTAGCCGCCCTCTACCTCTCCTCGAACCCACCAACGCCAACCGCTCACACCTCCTTACCGGGGCATCCAAGCTCCTCCTCTGAACGTGCCCGAATATCTTCATTGCTAATCTTATCCACCTCAACATCCTCATTTCTGCTACTTTCATCTTCTCGGTATGTGAATTCTTAACTGGACAACACTCAGCCCCATACAACATGGCCGGCCTAACCACCGCCCTATAAAACATACCTTTGAGTAGCGGAGGCACTTTCTTGTAACACAAGACTCCAGATGCTAACCTCCATTTCATCCACCTCACCCTTATACTGTGTGTGACATCCTCATCAATCTCCCTATCCCCATGGATGATTGACCCAAGTTACTTGAAACTGCCTCTCTTGGAAATGACCTGCGATCCAAGCCTCACGTCCATGCCCGCTTCCCTCAGCTCGACACTGAACTTGCACTCAAGATATTCCGTCTTTGTCCTGCTCAACTTGAAACCCTTTCACTCAAGGGCCTGTCTCCAAACCTCCAGCCTCACGTTAACGCCACTCTGCGTCTCCTCAATCAGAACAATTTCATTAGCGAATAACATACACCATGGCACCTCTCCTTGAACATCGTGTGTCAGTGCATCCATCACTGGAGCAAACAAGAATGGGCTAAGCGCAGATCCTTGGTGTAACCCCATAACAACTGGGAAATGCTCGGAGTCGCCTCCCACTATCCTAACCCGAGTCCTAGCTCCATCATACATGTCCTTAATCACCCTAATGTAAGCAACCGACACCTTTAGCCTCTAGACATCTCCAAAGAACCTCTCTAGGAACCTTGTTATACGCTTTCTCCAGATCAATAAACACCATGTGCAGATCCTTCTTCCTATCCCTGTACTGTTCCACCAACCTCCTAATAAGGTAGATAGCTTCCGTAGTAGAACAACCCGGCATGAACCCGAAATGGTTGTCTGATACAAACATTATCCTCCTTACCCTCGCTTCTACTACCCTTTCCCACACTTTCATGGTATGACTCAATAGTTTTATACCCCTATAGTTGTTGCAACTCCGGATGTCACCTTTGTTCTTGTACAACGGAACCACCGTACTCCACCTCTACTCGTCCGACATCTTCTTCATATTGAAAATAACATTAAATAACCCTGTCAGCCACTCCAAACCTGCTCTACCCACACACCTCCAAAATTCTACCGGGATCTCGTCGGGCGCGGTACCTCTGTCCCTGCTCATCTTACGCATAGCTCCCATGACCTCCCCAACCTTGACGCGCCTACAGTACCCAAAATCGCGATGGCTATCAGAATGCCCCAACTCTCCTAGCACAATATCCTGATCCCCTTCTTATTTAGAAGTTTATGAAAGTAAGTCTGCCATCTCCGCTTAATCTGGGCCTCTCCTATCAATACTCTACCGCCCTCGTCTCTGATGCACCTCACTTGGTCCAGATCCCGAGCCTTCCTCTCCCTCGCCTTAGCCAGCTGGAATAACTTCTTCTCCCCGCCTTTGGCCCCTAGATCCTCGTACAGACGACTAAAAGCCGCAGTCTTAGCCTCTGTGACCACCAGTTTTGCCTCCTTCCTAGCTACTTTATACCTCTCCCTATTCGCACTCTTCTCAACCTCGCATGTGCTCCCTACTAGCTTCAGGTATGCCGCCTTCTTTGCTTCCACTTTACCTTGGACCACTTCATTCCACCACCAGTCGCCTTTGTGCCCGCCAGCGAAACCCTTCGAGACTCCCCATACCTCTCTCGCTGCCTCCCATATATAATCTGCTGTTGTGGACCACATAATTCTCGCGTCCTCACTACTCCTCCAGGCTCCCACAGCCGATAGCCTCCCTTCCAACTCCTGAGCTTTATCCTTAGTCAAGGCTCCCCACCCGATCCTCGGTCGACCTCGTGCAGTCCTCTTCTTCCTCTTCATCATAATATCGAGGTCCATTACCAAGAGCCTATGCTGCGTTGCGAGGGTCTCACCCGAGATAACCTTGCAATCCTTACACAACCCTCTATCGCGCCTCCCAAGGAGCAGATAGTCAATTTGAGTCTTCGCCGCCGTGCTTTGAAAAGTAACCAAATGCTCCACCCTCTTTGGGAAGCTAGAGTTAGCAATCACCAGCTCAAACGCCCTTGCGAAATTCTACAGCGAAGTTCCTCCTGCGTTCCTATCCCCAAAACTGAAGCCACCATGCACCTCGCCATAACCGCCTGCAGTCGTCCCAATATGACCATTAAAATCCCCTCCTATAAATAGCCTCTTAGCAGGCGGAATACTACGCACAATCTCATCCATCCCCTCCCAGAAGCGCCTCTTGTTCTCCTCATCCAAGCCCGCTTGCGGCGCATACGCACTAACGACATTTATGGTGTACTCTCCAACCAACAACTTAATAGACGTTAACCTATCATTCACCCGCCTAACCACTACCGCAGACTCTCTAAGTTCCCTATCCACTAGAATGCCTACACCATTCTTACCCTTCAGGACTCCAGAGTACCACAGCTTATACTCGTCTGCATTCCTCGACTCTATCCTACCCACCGAGTCACTTGGACACACGCTATATTGACCTTCCTCTTATGAAGTATCTTCGCCAGCTCTATAGACTTACCTGTCAATGTACCTATGTTCCATTGCCCAATTCTCAACCTACAGGCACCATTGTTCCCCTTACCTCCCTTATCTTCCGTCCTACCCCTGACCCCTGACCCCTGCCCACCCCCCGCGCCGCCCATAGCCTCCCCGAGGACATGACCTTACTCTACCATCCCTGACTACAACCACTATACATACAACAGACTAAGGAGAATCACTCACACTCACTAGGCAAACGGACCGGACTAGGAGAAGCTAATAGAAAGCTTAACACTAATGCGAACTAAAAAGGCAGCAATTTAACTGACGCAAGGGGAAACAGAATAGGAAAACGGGAGGTACCAACTCCCGAGAAAGAACCTAGAAGTCATCTTGGTGTACACGACACTGATGCGCCACCTGGCTCGTTCACGTCTAACTTTTCACCGCCCCTTACTGCTACTCACCCTAGCAGCACTCCTATGTTTGCGTGCCCGCTCCTCGCTTGTCTCCAATAGCCACCACGTATTACCTGAAAGACACAACAAAACCCAAGAACCAAAAAAAGGTGCTGCCTCCGCAACCACCGGTGGAGCCCCAACAAAAGCAAAGAAGAGAAAAACAAGAGGAAAGGAGGGTGGAAAATAGTGGGGGATATTTGGTCTAACACAATAGTACCTCGAGCATATCATAGCCTAAGCACTACCCTGAGAATGGATAATTGCCCTGGTGCTCGCACATGGGCTGAAACCCCACATATGCGCACCCATAGCACGTGACTATCACACATAATTAAGGCAACTAGTGTCTCAAATAAATTTAGACAGGATTCTTACCTCAAACAAGCCGAATTGAATACCGAGCAAGCCATCCAACTCTTTTGAAATTTCATTCCGTGCTCATCAACCTCCGAACGGCTCAAAACTTGGCAAAAGTTGCTCAGATACATCAAATAATGCCTTAGGAAATAATTTTAAAAGATATAGGTCGACTCTTTAATCAAAATCCCGAAGTCAACCAAAAAGTCAAACCGGGGCCCGCACCTTGGAGCCCGATGAAACTCACAAAATCCGAACAATCCATTCAATTACGAGTCAAACCATACTAGTTTCACTCAAATCCGACTTTGAATCGACGTTCAAAACTCAAGAATTCGCTATATGAACCTTTAGTAAAAAACCTCCAATTTTCTCTTTTGAAATCATAAACCAATTGCCAAAAACGAGGATAGATTCATGAAATATAACCAAAATCGAGTAGAGAACACTTGCCCCAATCCACGTGGTGAAAATCGCCTAAAAAATCGCTTCAATCCGAGCTCCATAGCTCCAAATATGCAAAAATGGCCGAAACCTCCAAAATAGAGTACTTTATATTCACCGAATGAGAAACTCTACGCAATCGCGGGACATCCTTGGCGATTGCGAAGAACAAACTTAGCAGCCTCTAAATAAATCACTACGCGATCGCGATATAGCTCATACGAATGCGAACAACGCTGCCTCATACCTTCGCGAACGCGTCCCATATTATGCGAACACGTTGAAGAACTTCTCTAGTCCCAGCTCAGTCCAAACCACTACGCGAACGCGTGCGCACTTCTAAATCCACGATCGCGATGAAGAACTGTGACACCAGAAATCAGCAGAACACAGCAGTGCCAAAATGATCTGAAACCCATCCGAAACTCACCCGAGCCCCTCGGGATCCCACGAGTATACCAAAAATTCCCGAAACACAACACAAACCTACTCGACACCTCAAATCACACATAACAACATCGAAATGACGAATCACACCTCAAATCGAACTTAATGAATTTTGAACTTTTCGACTCCCAAAACTCATGCCGAAACATATCAAATCAACTTAGAATAAACTCAAATTTTGGACACAAGTCCCAAATGACATAACAAAGTTATTCCAGTTTCCGGAACCACAATCTCAATCCTATATCTTCAAAGTCAACTCTCAGTCAAACTTATGAACTTTTCCAAACCATCAAATTCTAATTTTTTGCCAATTTGTGCCGAAACCTTCTAGAAACATCCAAATGCAAATCCGGGCCTACGCTCGAGTTCAAAATCACCATGCGAAACCATCAAAACTCCAACCCGAGATCAAATACTAAAAAGTTAAACTTGGTCAACTCTTCGAACTTAAGCTTCAATCATGAAATTCATTATTCTAAATCGACCCCGAACAGCCTAAAAACCAAAACCAAAGATTCAAACAAGTCATAATACATCATACGAAGCTGCTCACCCCCTCAAACTACGGAGAGAAGTGCAAATGCTTAAAACGATCGGTCGGGTCGTTACATCCTCGCCCACTTAAACATACGTTTGTCCTCGAACGTGCCAAGAGTCGTTCCAAAGCCATCAAATCGCCGCGTAACCTTACCACGCATATACCCGGGGTGATCCCACGTCACCCTATTCTACATAGGCCCGACAACACAACATACTGAAGATCATTACTTCAACCTTAGCCCGTAACACACATAATCCAATTTCTAGCATTCGGAATTCCCTACAAAACCCAAACCTCGCATCTACACACTGTATAAGTTTGAATAAGCTGTATCAAGCCATAACCATAACCCAAGATACAATCACAGGATATACCACATAACTCAAATACCGATAGCAATAATCTCTAATCACCGTAGCTGCTTAAAAATAAACCTGGTACTGGTAATAAGCCTCATATCAAACAAAACCTCGTTCAAAACCTTCATACACTGCAGATGATGAAAGAAATACGCAAAAACTCATAACCACTCATCAGATCAACCAGTCATCGAGCTCCCTCTCCTTCGGCAAGAACTATAGTTAAATTTTATGCCGACTTCCGATATTATCCTTCCAATTATACCGCAATCAGATCCGATAGCACCCATTCTAGGTCTAATGACCTTACCTCATCAAGCACAACTGTTCTAGTGACATGCCACACCAATACAACCTAAGGTCACAACCGTGCAATCCGGGCACCAATGAGCAACAATTCAAATGTACTCAAACGTGGGAAATGACTCAAACGAGAGAACTGCCCCGCAAGCTCAACAAGTACTGCCACAATGCAATGCTTAGAACTCATCACACACCGTAGAACCATATCACACGAATCTAACACAAAGGATCATATCTCAACATAACTCCGCTGCAATGCGTGACCCTATCCAAACACTGATCCACATGAAATACCTCAAGACACCCAACTCAAAATCAATAACCACGCGCAATTCAAAATCAAGTACCCAAGGTGCATGACTATAACCATGGAGAAGAAAATGACACAATTCCATACAAACCCGAAAGAACCTAACCAATGCACAATCAATCATGCAACACCCCAATACCCATATCGCTTAAATTCCGCTATAAGGCCCCAATAGTAATGCACCATGTGTGCATATAACCAATGAATCACAATCCCTCATAGAATAGAAGGGTAACTCGTAGATCATACCAGAACACGAATAAGCTCAACTCAAACCGAATGGCACATCCCTCAACAATAGCAGTACGAAGTCAACCGATATAACCCGGTGTAGAATACACATCCTTATCGGCCTATCACTGGACCCAAAATCAACTCTGGCCACCCACAATAGGTAAATAACCCTTCGAAAGTCCACAATGAATGAATCATAACACATACTATTATTTGGCTAGCTTTGGCTACAACTTCACAGTCCACGACGACGAAACAATCTGCTTTTAAGAACTCCCAGTATCTAAATTCATAGAACACATGAATCACCATATCTTATCCCAACTCCACCACCCGAATGTCTAACACATCTGTCACACACGATCATCCCACGAGGAATACTTCCATAATTCTTTCGTTCCACATAGCCAAAATCTCAATATAGGCAGTCGATCAACCAGGCAAGTACCAGAATACCAATGAGGGATCTGTAAGTCAAAACTCAGTGCGCCTTCTAAGATGTGCACCCTTTTTAGGCAATACTAAGTATTGGAAACCATCCATGCTATCTAAGAATTCATAACCTCCCCTTCAAAACTGAACCGTGACCTTGCACATGAAAATCTCAATCCCACACAACACACCACATCTATCATGCCTGTCACACCTCCTTTTTCTAACCCGAAAGGGGTATAGGGGAGTTTTTCAATTTAAAGTGACAAAATCGAAATGGAATTATTTATTCAAATTCACTGTCGCCACTTGGGATAATTTATGGTGTCCCAAGTCAACGGTTTAAAATTCAGAATCGAGGAAGTTTGACTCTATTTTACAGTCCGCGAAACACAGAAATCCGGGTGAGGAATTTTATTAACCCGGGAGAAGGTGTTAGGCATTCCCGGGTCTGTGGTTTTAGCACGGTCTCTCAAACTATTATTATTGGCCTAATTATCTGATTAATTACATATTTTATACCTATTGTGCATTTTTACCCTTTTACTGCTTTTAATTATTTACGGAGTTATTCTGGAACAAGTTACGATTGTCGTACACTTGCTTGTTTGGTACACTTTGTGAATCATGTCACCGAAACCGTACCCACGATCTACAACATGTTTAATTTATTAACATTATTAGAAGTTGTGGCCGGGTAACATAAATGTACCCCTAGATTTGGAAATTACGCATCACAACTACGTCACGGGAACCGTAACCGTAGCTATGATAATTTTATTATAAACACTCCTAGAGCAAACAACGGATAATCGTAAGATGTGTAATTCCTAATTCGGTGATTGTGAGCAAAAGGGCCCGAGATTATGGAATACTTTTACTAAGTTTCAAGTTCATTCCCTCTTAAGCTTCTAATTTCATATATTTGGCCAAGCCCAATTCCTAAAGGATGTGAACAGATTAATCGCTAATTATCTTTAGTCATTCTCCACTCTCACAGCACAACATCGTTCAAGACAATCCAAATACCCAACTAAACAATCAATAAAACAAAGTCCTAACAGGCACACATCTGAACAAGTTAAGGATCGGATCTAATAACAACAAAGCAAAAATATATGCCAGAGCCATTAGAAGGAGCTATTTATGTATTCTTTGACTCGATCCATGTCAAACTCCTAAGTTCATTCCTACTCAAATTCGAAATGCCAGGACATTAGGGCAACCTGAATTAGCAGATCAGGACAATTGAAATGGAACTTAAGCACAC